TTAATGTATACATTGGGCAATCGAACACAGTTGTTTGATTGTAAAAAAAATGCTCTAAAAACAACAACAACTGCAAGTCATTGGCTCGCTCTTCTTCTTTCGTTTTGACCATTTAATGTTAATTGCAAAGGCACAACGCCAAAAGTTTACAGTTACCGTCGCTAGGCAACGACTTCGTAAGCGATAGTAAAGCAGAAACCGAATAACGGAGCTACGCATATTCTACTTCGCATTGCGGGCAGATGTATGTATGTATATGATTTGTTCTTATTGATCTCAACAAATAATTCGATTTTATTATTTAAATATTCTGTTTATTGCATTTACACTTCGATATTTTGATGGTATCGGTGGCTTCAACTATCGAAAGTTTTACTCTAGCAAATTGAGATGAGAATTGTCAGAATTTTGATCGTGGCTCATCGCTGCACGGCATTGACACGAGTGCCGTGTTTCATATTTCGAGTTTGTGCGTGACCGTATTGACTCAATATGGCACGAAAAGACTCAAATGTAAATTTAAAATTAGGATATACCCTTATAAGTATTCCCCTTTTTTGCACATAGTCTATCTTAAAACGTTGCGTTATTTCTATATATAAAATAGTTTGTGCTGACTAATTGGTGATCAACGCACAGCCCAAACTGTAAAAGATGAAATTTGGACTCAAGTATCCTTTCATAGTATCCATCATAGTGTAGGAGCACACTAAGAAAGGCTTTTGGAAAATTCTAGCTCCAAAGGGGGGAAAACGAGCTTTAAAAAATATTAGTTATAGTGGTCATATTCGTTTAACGAAATAGTTTGGCAAGAACAAAAATGTAACGGACTACTGAACAATTTTTTGTCAAGAACAGAAAATGTTCATTTAAATACTTTAAATGCCTTCCGACTGGTAACTTTTAAGGTGAAAACATATGGGTAGGTTATGCACACACAAAATAAATACAATTGGAAACATTATATTAAGCCGGGATAAGACGGGCAATACCTGCTAGTTTAATAATATTTACATAGGATATGCAAAATATTTTTGATGCAGATTGTTCAGAAAAACGATCAGGTTTATATTCCAATGATTATTTTTATTTGGAAAAATGTCTTTATTAGTGTTTTTAATCAAAACTCCTGGAAAAACAAACGAGATTAGAAACCTCCCAATTTCTGTAGCTCCGAGAATTGGTTTTGGGCTAAATAAAATGTGCTTATAATTATAAGTTTATTTACTATATGATATTGTCTAAAGTTTTTTTAAAGAGTTCATTTTCCAAATAGCAAATATAGTACAATAAGTACTATGTATGGTTATACGTACATACATATGTACATACATACACTGCCGCTCAACTGAATAGGTTCAACGATTCTCAAAAGTTCAAATGGTTATATCTTTTCAACCAAATCGTCGATTTTGATAAAATAAAATTTTGTAGGAAGAATAGTTTATTGTTAATAAAACAGCAAAGTTTGGGGCTTAAAGCAATTTGTTTTCCATTATTTTTTTAAATTTTTTCAAAAACATAACATTAAATGCCTATTTTTTTGGCTCAATTGAATAGGTTCAGTAACTTAAAAACTAAAAATGTAAATAATAAACGCGTTTTTCATGGCTTTAATAACCTAAAACATAAAAATAAACTAATTACGAGTAAATTAGTATTTAGTACAACCATCTTTGGTTGTACTTATAATAATTTTCTAGGACTGTAATCGATATAGTAGCGCAGGATTTTTGTATGGCGTCAATTAGGCTCTCAGTGTCGTTAAATTGTCGCCCGCCTTCGTATACTTCTCGAGACAACAATCCCCAAGCGTTTTCGATAGTGTTTAGGTCAGGTGAATATGGCGACCACTCGAGCAACTCAACATTTTGGTCCTTGATTCACTGTTTTACCACTTTTGCGGTTTGAATGGGACCGTTGTCTTATTGAAACAAAAAAAAAATGTGGAAATGCCTTTTGGATCACAGTTTTGTACACATTTGCATTCATTTTTATTAACACAAACTGAAGCTCACACGTCTCATAGTACGAAATCGCACCCCACACCATTACGCCGCCTATACAACTGTGATTTCGACTCAAAACACATTCTTCCTTTCATAAGTCGTGATAGTAGAAGTTATAGCCATCCGGTACTTCCAGGCTGAATTTTTTTCCATCGTTAAAACTACCTTCTACCATTGATTGTCCCAGGACATGTGCTCGTAAGCGTGTCGCCTCACGTGGGCCATTGAGAGGTGGTTTTCTTTTTATTTTTAGTCTCTTCAAATGCTTGGCACTCCGAATAATCCCTTTTACCGTTGCCAAACTTGCGGTTACACCGCATTCTTCCCTGATTTTAGCCGCAGAAAGTTGGGAATTAGAGGCGGTTCTAAGGATTCATCTTCTGTCAGCTGGAGTTGTCGCATGCGGAGACCCTCTTTTCATATTTTTCCCGTAAAATTCTTCATTGCGCACAAAATTACCAACAACATTTTGACTTATTCCAATTATCAGTGCAATTTCGCGCTGATTTAGGCCGGAATTGAGATATCCTTTTATTCGACCTTTTTCAAAGTCATTCAATTGTTTCTCGCGACCCATTCCACCAAAAAACAACGGTAAATACTTCTAATTACAATTAGAAAAAATGTTGACACCATTAATTTCACGCTGTCGATCACAAAGTAAAACTGAAGTAATTGAATCTATTCTGATGAGCCAAAAAAATGCAGCGTTTTTAGGCAATGTAAAACGAAAGAAAATTTCCTCAACTACCGTTTGAAAAATCCCGTTACTTGTTTATGCTATATTAAATGTAAACAAATAAAGGTTCACAACATATAATTTTAAAAAATTTATGTGCAGTACAAGCTGAAATATTGGACGAAATTAAGGCAGCATTCTTTGAACCTATTCAGTTGAGCGGCAGTGTATCTTCGTTACGCACCGGGCGGAATGCCAGTCCTGACTTAACTGTGTGCTTCCTCAGCACGTTGTACGCACGGTCGATTTATCCCCGAAAAGTCCGACGCGAGACATTTAATTTTGATTTATAAATCGGGACGTCCCGCCCAAATTGGAGCGTTCGGCAACGCTGATATGTACATACATTTAAATTTTTCATGCAGGCGTTATCCGCCTATATACATACATACATACATACATATATAAGTATGTATTAAATTTTTTAATTCAACACTAATTTGTGTCTTCAATTCCAAATATGATTGTTGTGAATGTAAAAGGTGTGTTTCTGCTTTTGTAAATCGCATGAATACACTCAAAAAATAAGGTTAAGGGTAAATGACTCTTAGATTTGTTCAGAATAAATTTGTAGCGTTGTTAGCTAACACTAAAACGGTAAGTCGCTGTAAATAATATTTACTAAATATGCGATCAGCTGAGATGCTAGAGATGGGCATGTGTCGGATGCTCTATGTGCTAGAGCATAACTATCGATAGTTGAATCCGTCGATACAATCAATAATTCCAACGAAGTTTGAATGCAATTAACAGAAAATTTAAATAATTTAAATAAACATCATATAATTTATTGAGATCAATTAGAACAAATTATATACAAACATACATACATCTGTCCGCAACACGAAGCAGAATTAGCGTAGGTCCGCGACGGTAACTGTAAACATTTGTCATTTTGCCTTTGAAATTAACAGGCGTAAATGATCAAAATGAAAGAAGAAGCGCGAGCCAATGACTTGCAGTTGTTGTTGTTTTTCGTTTTAAAAATTTGACTTAAAACCATAGAACATTATTTATTACAATCAGTGCTCGATTGTCCAATGTATACATACTTACATATATACGAATGTACATACATACATGCTATATATGTACGTACACAGGCATACATACATACATACATATGTACATATGCATGCATGTTTCTCTTTACTTTTTCATACATAGACACGAACTGTTGCTTGTTCTGTGTGTGAGTGTGTGTATGTGATGTCCCCAACTATTTGATATTTACGTTCTTTGTAATTTGTTGTCGCTGCATAAAGTTACTAATGAAAACTCTAATGCCAAATGTACTAAACAAAGAAAAAAAACCCAAATAATTCAAGCTCCAACAAAAAATTTAAAAAACCGAGTATGCAGTTTTCGTTGTATTCTTTTATTGATTTCAGAAACCAAGTTTTATCTTGATCGGCTAAAAAATGCGGATTGTTCAAGCAAACTTTTGAGCTCGTTTTCCCCCCTTTGGAGCTCGAATTTTCCAAAATCCCTTCTTAGTGCGCATCTTCACCATGATAGGATACTTGAGCCCAAATCTCAGCTTCCTAGCCTTTACCGTTTGGGCTGTGCGTTGATCACCAATCAGTCAGTCAGTCAGTCAGGACAAACTGTTTTATATATGTATATAGATAGAGATACTTATAAATTTAATTTTTTTTTGGGAATCAAAAAAATAAAACAAACTTGCACAGCACAGCGTACACACATAAGGCATCTTTGTGCAAAATTTGGTGTAGCTCTAGCTCTTACAGTCTCTGAGATCCAGGTGTTCATACGGACAGACAGACGGACTGGGCTAGAATGACTCGTCTTGTCACCCTGATCAAGAATATATATACTTTGTGGGGTCTGCCAGGAAAATGTTCAGAAAACGTACATACTTAGTTATGTATGTATGCCGGTTTAACTTTTATTTTTCTACCGTTTGGGCTGTGCGTTGTCAGTCAGTGAGGACAAACTGATTTCGTTTGTTCGTCATCCATGCAACGACAATGTGCTACAGCGAAACTTGGCAGGGCAGCTAGTAAAATAAATAAATAATTGTAATCAAAACTACTTAGCCTAGCAAAAACGGGTAAGACCTGCTAGTACTTACTATATAACCGGCAAAGTATTGCAGTCTTATCTTGGCTGTGGTAACAAAATAATAGCTTTGGGCCACTGTTCCTATCTCAATGAACAATTAAGATTATGCTGTTTACCATTGATCGCGGGCTCAACAATAATTTACAATCAGTTCGATTCGGGTTTCCCAGCCGTGTGGATCACTAAAAATATGTGTGCCAAGGCAATCATCTTTCTGCTTAGCTTAGTGCTCTTCATCATAGTCTCTCAAGGGCATCCAGAGAGCCGCATTGTAGGCGGCTTTGCAGTCAATAGTGTGCGGCATCCGTACATGGCATCTTTGCGTTACAGGCGAAATGTACTTGATGGGAGTGGCTACCTTCACGAATGTGCAGGCGTTATCTACTCGGAACGTGCGATTGTGACGGCTGCCCAGTGTTTGTGGGGATTAAGTGAAGGCAGCAAGTTAATGGCTGTGGTCGGTGCGCAAACACGCAATGGCACCGATGGAATGATCTATCCTATATCGCAGTGGAGCTACCATCCGAATTTTGATTACTATACCGCTGACTATGACATTGGAGTGGTAGTACTAGCAATGCCAATGGACTTGGCCGGCCATGAGGTGCGTGCGATCGGAATACGAACCGAGCGGCCAGGGGTTGGGCGCAATGCGATTGCGGCTGGCTGGGGCTACCGCGAAGAGGGAGGTCCATCCAGTTATTGGCTGGAACAGGTACATGTACCAATAGTAAGCGTGGAAAAGTGCGGTGAAGTTTATGGGGCGAATCAAATAACAGAGCGTATGATTTGTGCAGGTGACTTAACAGAGGGAGGTCGCGACGCCTGCCAGGGTGATACAGGCGGACCGTTAGTCATTGACGAACAATTAGTCGGTCTGGTGTCATGGGGCCGTGGCTGTGCAAGGATAGGCTACCCAACAGTATATACGTATGTTAGTAGCCTAAAAGATTGGATAGACGAGACGTTGGCGGCGATTAATGAATTATAAGTGCAAACTATGTCCAAAATCGAAAGTTCGAGTAGTTGATACCAGCTAGTGGGCACTAGCTTATCGTTATCGCAATAGATTGCACATAATTGAATAATACAATTTACTTCAATTAAGTAACAGGAAATAAAGAAAAATTACCGAAAAAACATGCAACCACAATTTGGTATTTATTTAACACAGATTATAAATCTTACACCCAACCAATGCTTCCGACATCGGCATAAAAATCGCGTGTCTCCTCTATCCAATCGCGCACGTCTGGCACAGATGCATAGACGCCGGGATAGTTTGCTCTTGCGCAACCTGTGCCCCATGACACGATTCCCAACAGTTGATTGTTGTATATTAGTGGCCCACCAGAGTCGCCTTGGCATGCATCTTTTCCGCCGCCGTCCACAGCCGCGCATAGCATGCGGCTAGTCAACAACACGGAATAGGCATTTTTGCATTCACTGTTATCAACTAGAAGTACATCCACCTGTTGCAATACGTCGGGAATGCTGCCACCCTCAGTGGTGGTGCCCCATCCTGTGACTGTGACATTTGTGCCAACCGCTGGACGTTCCACAGCTAGCTGTATGGGCTGCACGTTTTCATTGAAGGAGAACTCTCCATCCAGCACCAAAATAGCTGCGTCGTAGTCGTTGTTGAGCTGCCTATATTTATTGTGGACAATGAACTCACGCACGGGCAGTTCTTGCGCCTCCTCGCTTAACTTAGTGGAACCAGCTGCAATTGTTAGGTTAGAGACTCCATTTAAGCCGACCACGCAATGTGCAGCGCTGACTATGATGTTATTGGAAATGACGCTGCCACCACAGCGATGTCTCCCATTGTAACGCATGGAAATCTGATGTGGGTACTGCCTGATTTCGGCATCCTCACCGCCCACTATACGGCCGTCTGGCATTGGGACTCTAGTAGATCCATCGTAGGCCTTTGGCTCGACCAGACTTAATAAGGCGCACAACACGCCCAATGTAAACACGAAACGGAACATATTAGGTGTTACTGTAGGCCATATCATCAAAGCTCGTGGCTCTTATACAAATGGTGTGCCGCAGATTATCGCAGGCTACAAATCAAAATCATGATAACGATCAGGCTTAATCACCATTTTCTTAACGATAAGAACTATTAAATACTATAAGTTGGGTAATATAAATAAAATTACTGGTCATCGAACAAGATTAAGGCTAACAAGAAAATCAACCTCTAAGGTGGGGCGCCAAAGCTTAAGCCAAGAAAAACAAGAAAGGAATGCTATAGTCAAGCGGGATCATCAAATACTCTGTACTCACTCCAAAAAAAAAAAAAAAAAACACATTTTTAATTAATTTTTTTTCTAATTATATAAAATTTATAAAATAAAAAATATCTAATACGTAGAGTCGTACAGTTTAAATAACATTCGTTCACATAAATATAATAAATAGCGTGGCAGTGGAGAGGGCATCAGGAAATAAAACCAACTTGATCTCCAAAGGGCTGGATACCGAGTTTGGTTATTCTATCTTTGGAACTAGCTGAAATCCTTGCGCCGACAGGCAGGCATGGTTATATCGACTCGTCTTCTTATACACTTTTGGGGCCTTCCACGCCTCCTTCTCTGTGTTACATACATTTGCACTAAAGTAGTATACCCTTTTACTCTGCCCGCAGCTATTGTTTTTGTTGCTGCTTTGGCTCATTTCTGAACTGCACACATGCTCACATACAATTAACGTGAGTTCGAATACCGAAGAAGGAATAATCGTGTACAAAAATCCTTTATATTTTTGTTATTTTTTTTAATATTATATAATTATCCTTCACATCGGTACAGAGTATTGCAAAGTCGAGCCACCCCACTTTACGTTTTTCCCCTTGTTAAAGATAATATTTGGCACAAAATAACAGTTCGTCTTAACAGTGTGCGGTCGGTGATATTGATTTCTGATAATATACCTGCGATTTGTAAAAATGTTTCATATGTTTAATTTGTGACATTTTAGTACAAGAGACAAATTACCAAATCACATGCCATTCTTATCGCGGAACTCAAATACCTGTTTGTGTATTTTTTATTTTCACACCTATCCTATAGCTGACTGTTTCGTTTATTACTCCAGAACCATTGCGCTGATTAGTTTGCAAATTTCAAACCCTAAATACTATACAATATTTGTTGCAAAATTGTGATATTTAGTGCAACAAATCTTGCTCAGGACAGTTTCGTGCTTTATTTCAAGGTAATTTTAACGTCATTATTATCCAACCCAGTCGACACTCCAATTCAATTCACATTATAATTATTATGACATCTTACAGATCCAGGGTTCTCTCCATTGCCCCCCAACAACGCAGAGTATAAATTTCTTCAAGAGAAGTCGACGAGCGTTATAAACACAACAAATCAGTACGAAGACCATTGCGGCACATTTGCAAACTTTTCACATCGCCACAAAACTGCACTGGATCGCATTATAAAGTCGGTATTAGAGCCGATAAGAGTGTGGGAGAACATGCAAGGCGTTTCAATGCGCCAGCAATTGCTGACGTCACCATCGTCGCCATTGATTTAAATTTTGATTCGCATGGTATCCCTGATTAAATGATCACCTGCGACGTGTACTCGACACACACCGATCATATGACTCGATAGAATATCCTAAAATTGTGAAGATGGTTAAGGCGAAGATGGTTATCATTTTTCGTTTTTTTAATAAGTTTATTTACACAGACATTTTTTTACAGGCGGGAAACGACCCTCAAAGTAATTTTAATTACTACTCATATCGATTCATGGTTCGAAAAAGGATGAAAACTACATCATAAAATGTCGGCGCTTATAAAACCGAACAAAGCGAAACTGCGTTCCTCCTTCGAGATGGTCTAACGATCGTTCAAATCGTTTTCACTTGATATCACTGATAGATTTCTTATTCCTATCTAAATCGATGATGGAAATTCCGGGTAAAGGTTGCGCTACTAATAGCGCGATTAATGGTCTGCGTAGCAATTCCCCATGTATGGTCGACGAAAAATGTTGGAAGCTTTATCCGTGAAAATTTTAAGCAGAAAAAATAGCTGCAGTGGATTTGTGGGCCAAATACAAAGATGATATAGCTGATGATATTAAGGATATGATATTAAATAATATGCAATTTAGAACGCCGAATGCAGATCTGCAACTATGCGAGCAAAATTACAATGAGGTATTGACATTGATTAGGGGCATGTGTTTTATAATATTAAATAATAAATTTCCTCCATTTTGTATATAAACACGCAGAAAACGCCGCTGGAAATACCCTTTTCTCACATTTTTACATCTATATACTATACTTGTATATAAAACAGTTTATCCTGACTGACTGACTGACTGATCGGTGATCAACGCACAGCTCAAACGGTAAAAGCTAGGAAGCTGAAATTTGGATTCAAGTATCCTTTCATAGTGTAGGTGCCCACTAAGAAGGGATTTTTTGAAAATTCGCGCTCAAAAGGGCGAAAACAGGCTCCAAAGGGGGGGAAACAGCCTCCAAAGCTTGTATGAAAAATCTACAATTTTCATCTGATCAACTTAGTTTGGATACTATCAGAAAAATTCCAAGAAAAACTGTAAGCTTGGTTTTTTTGCAATGTTTCTTGGTGCCTGTAATATGGTAGTTTTCCTGCAAAAACAAGAAGGAAATGCTAAAGTCGAGCGAGCTCAACTCTTAAATAGGAATAAAAAAGAAAAAATGAAAAAAAATTGTAATTAATTAAAAAAAATTATATTAAGTAAACTAAAGCCATGTTCATGTACAGTTTCAAGAGCATACGTTTACATTAGAATCGTGTCTCTGTGTGTTTATATGCGTGGACGTATCCAGCACAATGTGGAACCAAAGCAACATGAACAACAACAACAGCTGCGGGCAGAGCTACAGGCAGAGCATGGGCAGCGATTTTTTTTATGGTTATAACTTTCTTCAGAATTTACCTATCATGATGAAACTTGGCATACGAACACCTAATCACTAACGGGTTGCAGTTACTAAATTTTAGTTTGAAATTCGATCGAATGCTGGATTCTGAGGAATTTTTGGTCATCAGTCAATTTGTACGGAACAAACCGTGCACACACCTTTCGTAAGCCCAAATGTTCGGTCAAAATGCAATAAATCGATGTTTCGAAGATTTTGCCTGGTCAGCTACATAGATTGATGATTCGTCCAAAACAAGAACATTATATTTAAAATGTGATTTTTGTACAAAGTAGTATGCGCTATAATGCGATGTAGCGGGAGTCCTAGTTTATAATATTAATTCATAATTGATTTAAAAGTTATGGTAAACGATGGAAAATACAAGCGAAGTAAACATTGTACTTAATTATGTATGTTGGTACAGCGAAGTCGGAAAAGACATTGTAAATAAGTAAACAAATCTAAAACACTATCAGTCCTTTTTCGGGAATTAAAAAATCATGTAAAGCTGCAAAATTACTGCAGATCAATGAAAATTGTCGTCCACGATTCCAAGCAATGAACGTATAGTTTCCAGCTGCTCGTATTTAAAAAGCAACATTATACTCTGTACAGGGTCGTACGCATATAAAGTCGACTCCACGTTCATTATTATGACGCACTATTTTGTCTAAAAATGGAACTGAGTTGGATTTGTTGAAGTTTTTTCGTTGATCATGTGCATAAATTTATTTTTAATTGCATCGTGTATTACATATTTAATCAATATTTTAATTTTTTGGTTTTTAAAAGTGCGTACGCCCTTGACTCTGTACATGAAATGTAAAAGAGTATACTAGGTTTGCGGAAGGTAAAAAATGTCTGTCCGTATGAACACCTGGATCTCACAAACTATGAAAGCTACATACAACAAATTTTGCACAAAGATGCCTGATATGTCCCTCGATAATGGGATTCTTTCGTAAGGCCGCGCCATTCGTATAATCACCTATATTTAGGGGACTATGAGACTAGGGACACCAAATTTACTCCTAGATGTGAATACGCAGAAAATGTGTACTTTAGAAATTCCCTCCCTACAAGAAAAACATTATTTTCAAAATTCGGTAAAAGTAAATTTAGGTATGTAGTTAGTTTCTAAATATTGCATCTAAAATATATTTGTTTAGCAAGTACGCTAGTTAACACATGTTTGTATGTATGTATGTATTTATATCACATATTAATAGGTTTGACACCACGACAAGTATGTATAATCTATTTACATATATATGTACTATGTATATACACTGATTTTTAAAAAGTGATATACCTTCGGAGAACCACCTTTGAAACCACCACGATGACTCAGAATTACAGATAAGCGCACTTCTTACCAAGTACATACACATGTATGTATGTATATATAGGCGTTTAAATAAGTAAGTATGTAATCATATCTGTTTATATCCCTAATCATTAATTCGCCTTAATTTTATAAGACTAATCGTGTTCATAATTGTTATTGTATTGTGGTCAAAATTTCTCTTTTGAAATCCTACCGAAGTTTATAATGAACATAAACGTAGCGGTATGTTCTGCTATATAACTTTATGATATTTTAGAATTTCTTTATTGAAATCCATACGGTATTGTGGATTTTAAGCAGTTAATACATACATACATACATACATACGAACATAAATGGGAGCGACTTAAAGGCGATAAGCAATGAACTATAAAAGCTGTGTGCATGTCTTGCACTGTTTCAGATTCTACATAATGTGTGGGCGCATTGGACAAATTATTTTGGCGGCGCTGGCTCTAGTCAGTGTCGCTAGATCCGCCTACATCACCCCACATATTGTGGGCGGCGATGAAGCAGATATAAAGGATTATCCATATCAAGTGTCAGTGCGCCTTGATACGTACATGCTTCTGCATATTTGCGGTGGAAGTATCTACGCGCCACGTGTGGTGGTCACCGCAGCACACTGCATCAAAGGACGGTTTGCCTCTTACATTCGGATTGTGGCTGGTCAAAATTCCATCGCTGATTTGGAGGAGCAGGGCGTAGGTGTTACAAAACTAATACCCCACAGTGGATACAATAAAAAAACGCACGTTAATGATGTGGGCTTGATTATAACGAAAGAACCATTGGAATACTCGGGCCAGATTCAGCCCATTCCATTGGCTAATACGTTGCCAGCCGCGGGAACACATGCCCTTGTTAGTGGCTGGGGAAAACGTAGCAGCGAGGACGAAGTACTGCCAGCCATGTTACGTGCAGTCGAAGTGCAAATTGTTGATACAAGTACTTGTAGTGCACAGTATTTACTTAAGGAATATACCATAACAGACGAAATGATGTGCGCTGGGATGGAAGAAGGCGGCAAAGACACTTGTCAAGGCGATTCTGGAGGTCCCTTGGTGGTAGATGGCTCTTTGGTGGCCATTGTGTCATGGGGGGTTGGCTGCGGACATGAAGACTTCCCTGGAGTGTACACAAGTGTTGTGCCTCACACTGCTTGGATAGAAGATCAAGCTCATCCATATATTTAAATACAATTTTAGAACAAAGCTGTTTTAAACAAATCAAACGAACAAATTATGCGTGCATACGTTTTAAATGGAATAAGGGATTTTAAATAATAAATAACACAATACAATCATTATTCGAAAATATGCTGTTTAATCTTAGTAACTTACTTAAAATCACAACTGCTAAACGACTATTCACCATACTACCTTGATCAAAAAGTTCCCAAAACAACCGCGTGGCGACGCTTTAAGTGAACTGATTTGAGTTCTTGATTTTTTTTTTACCTCTGCAAGTGTTTTCGACTTTTTACAGTTTTGAAATGGGGTTTGCGTGGTTGCAGTTTGTATTAAATGTTAAGTTAAAAATTGATGCGAAAAACATACAAATGTATGGAAACTGTCAAGGCATTGATACTCTAAGAATACGGACGCCCACGAGTAGCACGAACGCTGTAGAAGATATCGAGAGTCCAACGAAGATGACGAACGTAGTAGCAGACCGTCGACAGCAAAAGCTAATGAAAACATCAAAAAAGTGAAAGAAAAATTGATCAATAACAGCAAGTTCACAATCAGAGAGATGGCAGAGAACTTGAACATTGCTTATGGATTCGTTCAGGATATTGTAGTTAATGATTTGGGTTTGCACCGTGTGGAAAAATTAAATACGGCTCTGACGGCTATACCGAACAAGAGAGAACGCTACAGTCGAGCAAGCCCGACAGTGAAATGCCCTGTACGCACTCCCACAAACAAGAAAATATATTTGTTAATAATTGCTGTAAAAAAATTTAATTCATTAATACAATTAAATTAAATATTTTCAATACATACATTCATAAGTGGAGACATATGGTTATGTACAGTTACAGTAAAAAATTACATTATCCGTGTCTATGCGTGTATGTGTGTACGCAGTAAGATGCTTTGAGTTGCAACAACAACAACAATAGCTGCAGGCAGTTTATACGGGCGGTCAGACGGACATGGCTATACTGCTCGGCTTGTCACCTATCTCAAGAATGGGGAGCAATTATGACATCAGTGGACAAAAAAACAAAATTGTATTTTAAATAAGAAGCATGAAATTATGGTGAATTTATTCGTTTGTTTAAATTTTTTCTAAGTTCGTTTTTTTTTTGGAATTTTCAGCACTGGTAAAGGTAAGCATCGATAATAAGGCGATAACAATCGACAGATTGTTAGCGTTGCCAAATAGCATTGAAGTAGCTGAAACTTTCCAGAAAACTGGCAGCACGTATTCTTCGCAATCTTAAAACAGTGAAAATACAATTAAAACAAATTACGTATGTAAATTGCACTTCAAAGCAAATCAAATCAAGTAGGTGAACACAATATTATGTCGCTATTCGGTGCGATAATGGGCGATTGGGACGACGATCTGGTATTCGTAAAGTAAGTACATATGTTTGGAAACCACACATGTGTGTATGTATGTATGTATGCATTGTTAATATTCAGCTGCAAAGCTTTATTGATTGAGGAATTCTTTGTGAGACTAAAATAATTCAGGTAATTTTAAATCAATGGATGACGTGTTGTGAACTGAGCTTAAGACCAAAGTGGAATATCATGCGTTTTATTTTCCAAGTGCAAGTTATGCTTCACTGAGCATTTAACACACAAACATACATTCGAAATACAGCCTCAGCCCTCCACAGCAATAATGGCAGCGTAAGTAATCGATAATTTCAGCTGCATGCCGTGCCCATTACACGGCCTGGTGCAGTTGTTCTGGTACTTTCGCCAGTGATTCCGTATCGATTTAACTTGGGCTGCTACGATAAGAAGTAGTTTTTTTCATTCTGTGACAAGCAATTTGTGTCGAGCTTGTATATTTATAGGGCGAATATCACATAGAGTTTAACTTCGTTTGTTAGTATTTAGACTTTAGGCAGTACACGATTATATTTTTGGCATTTACAAATATAATATGATAAATAAACGTAAACGAAATTCCCGCGGCAACGGTAACAGAATTATAGAAAGTTTAGACATGGACAACAAGTTAGTGCACTGTAGTTGCGTATATTTTACTTCCTCATTATTCGTTTGGTGTTATAATCCGCAGTAACCACATGAACCATCAGATGAACGCCATGAATATGCAAATGCGATCGATGAATCGCTTGATGAATTCGTTTATGCCCGATCCTTTTAATATGCTGGGGCCCTCACCTTTCGATGCAGGCTTTCAGCAGGGCGCATTGATGGAGCGCGGCCAGCAGCCGATGCCAGGAATGGGTGGTAGCCTGTTCGGCTTTCCAGCAATTCCCAACTTTAATCGATTGCTTAATGCCGGTACGTATAATAATTCAATTATTATTTTACATTTACATTATTTTACGTTTACACTATCATGGCTATTGAAGACATTGGCGCCAATGGTGGCACCTCGTATTGCCAAAGCACCGTGATGACCATGTCCTCAGGTCCTGATGGACGCCCACAGATCTATCAGGCCAGCACCAGCACTAAAACTGGACCAGGTGGTGTACGTGAGACTCGCAAGACCGTACAGGACTCACGCACAGGGGTCAAGAAAATGGCCATCGGTCATCATATTGGCGAGCGCGCACACATTATTGAAAAGGAGCAGGATTTACGCTCCGGGCAGCTGGAGGAGCGCCAAGAATTTATTAATTTGGATGAGGAGGAGGCTGAACAGTTCGACCGAGAGTTCACATCGCGAGCATCTCGTGGCGTTGTTGGTCATGGACGCAGTGGAGGGATGCAAGCTATTCGTGGCGCACCTCCGGCTGCATCTTCATCTACGGTTACAATTGAACCACTTGATGATGATGATGATGATGATTGCGTTATTGAGGAGCAACCGCGCGGCAGCGGAGGTCGCACCTTGCCCGCCCTGCCTGCGCCACCAACAGCACCTCGGAACAGGTGAGTGAGCTTAATGCTCTCATATGTGGCACACAACGCAATGGAAATTTTATATCGTGCATCCAAAATATTATTCATGAGTATCAAAAGGATTCTCGAGAAATCTGCACCTTATACAGTTACTAAGAAGGAGCGCTGCCACGCAGTAGTTAATAGAAAGGTGCTTTTACTTTCAGTTTTTTTTTTCACACTATATACATAGTACTAGCTTCACCTCAACGCCTATTGAGTATTCCTATATGGTTAGCAATTCGTAGTCCTGAAATCAGCCATTGTTATTGTCAAAAAACGTAAACAATTGGATTTTGTACTATTTTAATAAATAGTATATGCATATATGCGATTTACTCAAATAAGCGGAAATAATCAAGTCATTTGGTGCAAATTTGTCGAAATCCATTCAAAGAGTGAACCGAATACACAATCAGGATTTACGTGTGTATGTGTGTAACAAAGTCCTTATGCGGATGCACGAACTGTAAACTTTCTTATTGTATACTATATTGAAGACTAAATATCGGTGTTTTTGTTGCGGGGCGAGCCGTGTTTATAGAGACGCATACCATTTTTTTAACATTCAACTAATTATACCCCAAGTCCACTAACAACAAGCATAATGTGCAACTGTTTTGTATAACACCCGCTAAATAAAATTGTTTGTATTTTCTTGCAGATACAATTACTAAAAATGCAAAGTACATACAGTATATTTTACTATATAACGATAAAAGAAATTACAGAATTTCATATATTCAAATTTCCGCTATGAATTAATTGCATTCCAACTACGTAAAGCACTCAAAAAATATAAAAAGACATGCATAAACAACATTGAGGTAGGCGGCATATTTGAACCAAGTCAGATTGTTAAAATGTGTTAGTGTATTTTATTTTTGAAATGCATCGTAAATTATTTTTTAATTTTTATTTGAATTTAATTATTTGTTTATGCCTGTCAAAATTATAACCCTTCATGACACTTCGCACTCACAAATTTAGAACAAGCGACTTATTGTACGAAAACGGATATGTACTACCAATTCTACTATCAAGTACTACTACTGATGTACCTATTTAAAACCAATTACGCCAATCGTTTTGTTGTAATATATTTCAACTTTTCTTCGACTTGATTCCATACAACAACGGCTTCGCAGTAGCAGTGCAGCAACAACTACCACGTCGTCGTCGTCGCCACGCCGCGCCATCTCTACAGCACCGACAGGGCACGATCTTACAAACAACAACTATTTGGGCAGCGGACAAGCTCCAACTTCTCGTCGCGCCTACATGCGCAGCGGCCAGCATCTTGCCACGCCTCGTCGACCACTGCGCACGCCACCGTCCTCGCCGTTGGCAACCACCTCCAGCGCTAGTCACAGCATCGCTGCTACGCCAAGGTTTGTTCTCTTCGACAAAAAAAAGAAAAACAAGACAAAAATTTAAAGTAAAACAGCATTAAATCCCTTGTGTACAGGCCTTTACACCTACCTGGCCTGATTCTTCTTTATATTAGTCACCAAATATCACAAATGACAGCTATAATTGAACACTGAACGCTGTGAATTTTGTCATTCTCACAAAAACCTGTAATTGACGTAACTCTTCCCAGTTGTTAACGTATTTTGGCTGCCGAAACAACATTTCAAGCTTTTGCTTTACATTTTCCAAATTTGCCTGCGCATTATAGAGTAAATCATATTTATAGTATTAATAATAATAAGAAATTGATGGTCTTTATTAACAACAACTTCTCGATCTCTCTCCTCTCTATAATATTGTATATTTTCACTCTACACAGAGATTGGCGCTTGTATAATCCACGTTTCTATCGAAAGTAAATCAAAGTAAATGTCAATATAACAATAACAAGTTGCAAAATTATGAATAATGCAAAAATATATCTATATCTAAAATACACACATATAAATCAAATCAACAAGCTCAAGCGGCGATCAGCACATGATTAATGATCGCTATCTCGACGTATGTACTCTAATCGCATCACACTTCCCCACACTACTAACAACAAGCTACGGCGTTATCGACGACCTTCTACGCACATCAGCTCTACGCGTCGCGGGCCGAATACGTCCATCTGCATTGCATCTGCGCCTCATCGTTTCCATCGATCTGCCACGGTCAACGCACCAACATCATCGCCGCTACGTCACGTGCCACATGCTACGTGTAAGGCTGCCCGCAACCAACTAATCTCCTTTCTCACGCACACACACTTTTGAAATGCATACGTACATACATATGTATATTTATTATGCGTTACGACTACGTGCTGGACGCAACGCTGACTACGACGACGTTTATCAAAATTTTTAAGTTGTTGTTGCTGCTTCTGCTGCTGCTACGTCACAGAAATTACGACGACTCTTCCGACGTTTCGTTTAATTGACATATTTACGTACATGGGATACAATTTTGGGTTACGCCACCAAGACAGTCAACTACGTAGTACGTTATATACTAACGGCGCGTTGTCATCCAGCTTTGATTCCAGCTTTCATTATCACATCAAAACTGCTCTCTCCATTTTTAAACTTTCTTTCAAATTGGCTTATATACGAATGAATAATTGATCTATATTGTTTTCAATATCTTACGTTGTATGCATACTCGATATTATCTCTAAACGAAGGGTCAAACTAATTTATATTTTATCTACTCTCTGCCCACAGCGTGCATCCACATCCCTATGCTGCAAACGCCGCTCGACGCCATAAACGTGTGAAGCATCACACCACACGGAATGCGGTCGATGCACCAGAATCAAACTCCAAAGCAGCGAAACGAGGCAACCATTAGGCTTGCACAGCATACACACGTACACCACCACATCTACAATCACACTCAAGCACACTTACACAGCGATATGCAAGTACATGATACTACACGATAGCTCCAGTTGCAAAGAGAAAGCAAATGTTTAACATATAGTAAATACGAGTATATTTCCTTTTTAATTACTCTTCATTGATTTCGCTAACATACTCGTATATTTGAATGCAATTTCAATGGCTTAGCGTGCGCGCCTGCTAGCTACGGATTTTTGGTATGGCCAAGCCCAAAATCTGGAAGCCCAACACACGAATATCATCACATATGTTATATCCACTTTTGATTTTCTTTCTTTAATTTTTGTTTGAGACTACCACACATTATATTCGTTGTGTACACGATTAAGGTTTTAATTCAGGTACGCACGCAAGCCTTGAAATTGCTTAAAAGATGTTTCCATTTCAAAACTTTTTTTAAAAAAGACAACTGTTCAACGCCCTAAGAAAACGTATACACTTTCTATGATAAATGAAAATTTTAATGTACTTTTATGATACGCAACTTATATTAAAGCGAAAATTGAAAATGCTGCAAATTGAATTATGTCTTAATTTTTTTTTTTAAACAAAAAACGAAAGTTTTATTCGTGTAGCATCAGGATTCAAAATGCGTTCCTAGTTTGTAAGCCACAAAATAACCACAAAACCGAACATAACTACAGCGAAGAACCGGCAAGTCCAAATGGTCAAAATATTGGCGTAAAATATACATATATAAATACACCCCCAAAAGAAGCATAAATTGTATTTAGTTTTAAGGCTTAAATAATACTTAACTGTTTATGTGAATTTAATTAAAAGAGAAATACATCCGTAGTTATATTGATGTCATCAATCCATATTTTTGCATTTGAATATCGTGGAATACAACATTAAGCACAGATGCAAAGTTTGCTGCAGTCAAGAAAAACCCAGTCCAGCAGTGAAATATCCCGTACACAAACAACTTCTGGTGCTGAGCTATATGCGCCCACGGCAAAAAGAAGAAGAGGGAAGTTGATGCTGCTGTAATGAAGTGAAAGTAAAAACATAAACTCGTGTTGCCAGGGGATAAAGAGGAGTATGCATACCATGCTTGGTCAATGTGGGCTAAGCAGTTTTCGAAATCCAGGCATTTATCCAGAGAGACGAGCGCGCTGTAGCTATTTCCCTCTTGATGCTGATTCGGGGACGAAGATGCTTCCTTCTCCCAGATAAATACCTTGCACAAGCCTTATATACCCTTCAGGTATAGGGTAAAAACACGGCCAAATCATGTTGGGGCAGTAGATCCTCGTTCGTTATGTCATGTCATCGTTTTTGCTGCTTTGGCTGACCCTGTACCGCACAGCTATTAACAAGAGAGAACGCTACAGTCGAGCAAGCCCGACAGTGTAATACCCTGTACCCAGGTAAACTTCCGTCACTGAGTTATATGCACCCATAGCAGCAGCAAAAAGAGGAAGAAGAAGAGCGAACTTGTTGCTGCAGTTTGGGGAGGTTGTACTGGCGAGAATTTGTTTCGCTAATAACTTTTCTTAGAATTGACCGAATTGAATAAAATAAATAAAAACAGTAGACAATTTTATATAAATTATGTGTGCAAAGTTTGGTTTAGGTAGCTTTTGAAATGTGGACGCTATTGACGAAATTCTGTAGCGGGGGAAAGGGGGGAAAATTAAAAAAAAAAAAATAAACTCGTCCGTACTCGGACCTAGGAGAATCTGGATGCCAACTTTGGTTATTCTAGCTTTTATAGTTTCTGAGATCCTCGCGTTCATCCAGACGGACGGACGGGCGGACATGTCTAGATCGATTTCTCTCGTCATGCTGATTCAGAATATATATACTTTATGTGGTCGGAGATGCTTCCTTCTGCATGTTACATACTTTGCACAAACCTAATATACCCTTTTTACCCTACGGGTACAGGGTATAAAAATGTACTCAAACATTTGTCTATGTATAGTATGTGTTCAACATGTGTTATTCAAAAGGATCTTAGAAATTACAAGAGCTAGAAAACATCTTAGTATCCAGGTTCCTCTAAGCCTTACTCAGATCAAGCTTTGGTTTTTTTCTGATGCATGCCCCACTCCACCGCTTTTAGTGGCTTTCGCATGTGTGTCATTTTGGTGTCTCTAGCTTTTATAGTATTTTAGATATTGGTGTTCATAAGGACGGACAAGCAGACAAACCTGGCTAAATCGCCGCGACTTAATATACCCTTGTACATTTCATGTACGGGGTATAATGAACAAGAATGGAAAGCATGTACGGGGTATAACGAACAAGAATGGAAAGCAGGCCCAACTCTTATATACACTGTAACCATATACATTTCATGTACGAGTTATAATTAACAAGAATAGAATAAAAGGAAAGCAGGCCGAACTCTTATATACCTTGTACCCACTCTTAAGAATAAAGAAGACATACGTGTACCCACAAAAAAGAAAAATAAGGAAGGAATGCATTTGAAAAATACCAAGAATTACAGGAGCTATGGAAAATTACTAATAGCAGGGGAAGAGAAGAACATCGATACCAACTATGGTAATTCAAGCTCTTGTAACTTCTGAGAAAGGACATGGCTCAAAAAAAAAAATCCAAAAAAACTTTAAACCCTCGTACTTTCTCGGAAATAGGAGAACCTGGATAGCTTGGTTGTCCTATGCGTGTCTGTGTGTAAGCAAGTATGCAGTACATTGTTGAACCAAAGCAGCAACAACAACAGCTGCGGACGGCGCTTGGGCAAATATTACATTTATGGTAAACGGACACTGGTACTAATTTACCAAATTTGGGTAAAGGGTATTTAACTGTAGGGCTTGCAAATGATCAATTATAAACCTTAATAGATAATTCGCTTTATTTTAGAAGATATGAACACGGAACTAAAGCTTTTAAAGTTGCTCTAAACAAAATATAAAACATTTATCTTAAGGGAATATAATTTATATTACATAAGTATATTCGGACTTAAAAATGTGCAAATTGCTTAAAGATCGGTAGATGTGAAAGTATCAGGAAGTACAGCTAACTTGGAAAATGTATGCCAATCGAAAGCATATCCATATAAAAACGTTCTGCACAAGAACAGGAATACGTATCTGCATATAGACTTTCCGAAAAGCTTAAGATTTTCAAATCATGAACGTTGAATTAAACATATATATATATATATATATATATATATATATATATATATATATATATATATACATACAGAATTTTAATAACAGCCGCCAAGAACATATACCTATTTGCCTGTTTGCAACTAATTTTATTTTAATTTTAGATATCACTTGCGAAAATAGCATAAGCGACATCCATATGGCCTAAATCAAATAGAAAGAATAACTTAAATCTCTAATCCACCATTTCCATTTGAGTTTCTTCCGACTCTCGCCAGTTGCGCTGCACCATTTCCACCAGCTGCTTCCACAATAGAGTCCGTCGCAAATAATTGACAAGACAGACTAAAATAAAGGCCCAAGCCATGCCCAGATAATAGTCCGTCTGCACCGCCGGTACCTTCGATAGAGGAAATGCAGAATCCCGCGTCAAGCTTCTGATTAAGGGATGTATAGTTTTTGAGTCGATAGGCTTGATGTTGGTATGTCGCGTAATGAATTTGCTATAACTACGTTCTTCCGACTGATACTTGCTGAAAATATAAGTACGTACAAAACATTAAAATGTCGTATTAATTCTATACATAATGAGATAAATTTAGGCATGTGAAAATAATATATTTCTAGCTTCTGAAACCTTTACATTTTATCTGAAGGCTTAACTAAAACGCAACTTTGCTTAATACTTACACAATAGGCCGACCTTGGTGAAATATCATAAGTGTTGGCAGGCCGACGATCCCGAATTCTGCGTTGAATCCAGGAAACTCATAGGCATCGATGTAAGCAATACGTAACATTGGAAACAGATAGGGTAGCAGGTTAATTACTGGTGCCACCTTGGCGCATCCCAGACTGCTAGCTGTGCAAAAGTGGACGATAACGCAGCTACCGTGCTCATGCCTCTTGGTGGCATTGCCAATAGGCTTTAGCAAGTTGACGATGTCCTTGCTGTTTTCCACGACCAGCAGCTTTGTTGACGCGTATGTGACATTGTCTAGTGGCTCGGGTTGTAGGCATTTTACCATTATGGGTGGTTTGCGCACAGGCTGACGCCTTTCCTGCAGCAGGTGCAGAATGTGCTTGTCATCGGGTAGGCAAGTATGTTGCTCGAGCTGGAGCACATGCCTTGTGAAGCTGTAGTGGCATTGGCCGCGTGATTGACCGAGTTCTTCTGGTTGCACCGCAGAGTAAATGCCAAAATATTGCAGGATGTTAAACAGACCAGAGAGTTCAGCGTTTGTGTTGGACGCGGATAGCGCTGCCAAGTGGAAAGCGTTGAATTATCATAATATTGGTGTTGTGAAAATACTCACATAATAACAAAACTAGCAGTACTTTGTTTGGCATCGTATAAAGTTTGTTTTGCTTGAAAACCGCAGAACAGCTGAGCGCTTGTGATTATTGGCGTAAAGCTGGGCCGAATCGGTTAAAATAAATTCAATCGAACTACTTACTGAGCTGAACGAGTGATCGAAAATTATCGTTATCGTTCATTTAGTTCGTTTTTTCTCAATTGAGTCCGGTTCTTGTTCATTTTGCTTAACCGTTCTTGGCGCAAACTTGTCGGTGTTACGTTTGGTTTCGGCCAATTCAAAAATGTCACAAAATGAAAACATACATAGGTTGTGGGATCACTTTAATGCTTTTTCATTACACAATGCCTTAGAGTGGTTTGGTCTCCTATTTTTGTGAGTTTTATACCCTACAATGAAGAGTGTAACTATCGTTATTGTTTAAAAATATTTTAGATTAAAATTAAATATTGAGTGTTGTTGTTATACCGCGTACAAAAGGGGACAACAAAAAAATAAAATTTTGATTTAATAATGCACGATGCGTTAAAATAACAATTTATGTATATCATCAACAAAAAAAGTTCAACAAATCCAACTCAGTTTCATTTTACTATTGCATTTAAATTGAACTACACATACAATTCTGGTATATCTAGCAAACGCTGCTCCTAAATTTATAGCAGTGTTACCCACTTTAAAAAAAAGTGTATACACACGCGAGTTTTGGAAACATTGGAAAAAGCTATTTGGTATGAAACTTGTAAAAACGCGCGCGAGCATTCGATTTTAAATACATTCTTGGTATTTGTTTTTCATGTACGTTTTACACAAATGTGCATAAATCAAGTTTGCTTCTTCGACAGCCAACAGTTGATGCATATTACAAACAGGAAACAGGCTTTATAAGTGTACGTGAATTACTTTACTATAGCCCTTTACCTTTCTCGTTGACATTTTGGGGACAGCTTTATAATTTATTTCTCAAGCGATTTTCGTAGTCTTCATCTGAATGCATTTTTTTGTAATGACAAATGAGCATCAGATGGTGGTCGTTAAGTATAATTAGCAGGTTGACTTCATTTCAACGAATTGCAAAAGGAAATTCCATCCAATTTTTGTGATGCCGAAACATTGAGCTTCTTTCAAATCCAGCTTTCTGTAAATCGTTTAAAATTGTTGTGTGTTCAATTTATAGCATTTCTGCTATAATAATTTTCACGATTTCATCACAATTTTCGACCCCATACGAAGTGAATTTTTCATCGGCGAAACTGAAGGTGCACATATGTATATAACTAGCTGAGACAGTATCGGGAGAATTTTTTTCATTTTCGACTTTATAAAAAAAGCTATGTTAATATGTAAATGAATAACCCTGAGGAGATATATGTATTTGGTTGGCACAGGCTACAAAATAGCAATGTATGTATATTAATTTAGGGCACTAAACTACGACGTCACATCTCTCCCAATACCTCCTTCGCATTTTATGGCTTCGATTAGATCCTTGATTATAGTTTAGTCGGACCGACCGACGACCACCTTTCTTCGTCTGTACAAAATATATTCACCGCCACCTGTTTGTGTTTCTTGGATCAGAAGTGGATCCCTTTTCGCGCATTGTCGAAGCCGCGACTTCCTGTTTTTGTTTCGTTTTTATGGCTCTAGATGTGGATGCCTCTTGCAAACGTGATTGTTCATCGGAATTTTCAATTACTCTTTTTTCGCTCATCTTTTTTGATTTTGTAGTACTATGTACATGAAATGTACAAGGTTTGAGCGAGCTGAAAAATGTAACAGGCAGAAGGAGGTGTGACAGACCCCACAAAGTATATATATTTTTGATCAGCATGACAAGACGAGTCGATCTAGCCCTGTCTGTCCGTATGAACACCTGAATCTCAGAGACTATAAGGGCTAGAGACTCAAAATTTTGCACAAATATGTCTTATGTGTGTACGCTGTGCAAGTTTGTTTTATTTTTCTGAATTTATTAATTTTTCTCTGCGAACAACGCTATATGTATATGTACATACATATATATTGGTACCTTCCAAACAAGAACAAATATCAAATATTTTATATTATTGGTTGATTCGAAATAGAAAATAAATTCCTTTATGTGGCTTCACCGACTAGCTTCGTAGTAGGAAAAGGTCGCGTGGGTTGTTTGGCATAGCGCATCATCCTACTGAAACCAAAGATTGTCCAACCCCATGTCTTTAACTTCTTGCTGCAATAAGGATCAGCAACATTTTTAAAGAAAAATGGGTCAATGTTCCAAACTGTCACAATCTGAGGATGCATTAAAATATCGAAGTTCGAAGTGGGTTCTCCAATGCCCAGATGCGGCAGTTTAGCTTGTTAACATATCCGCCGAGATAAAAATGCGCTGTGATAGAAAAGATGATTTGTCGTCGACGCAGGCATTGAATTCATTTAATTTACTTAGTGCACATTTACGAGTACAGTAGTAATACACGCACTTTGCACAAAAGTAGCTAATAGGAATCATGAAAACTATGCTTCATGAAGCAATTTAAAGGTTGTTCTTATAATTATCGTGTTCGACTCTTAGTAGTCCGTCTTGTCTAGGTATCGAGGTATCGCACGTCCTTTGCATTGCAATCAAATGAATTCAATTGAAAATTTTTCATTTCCCTTCAAGCCAAGTTATTTACAACTCCACTCACCAGTCGGCCAAGCGGGTGGGCAGCCAGCCAAATGCACAAGAGCAGGCATCAAAAGCGGAAGTAAGTTTGTGTGTGTGTGTCACTCGGCTCGACCGTCGAACTTTTTTCCAAGCACTCGAAAATGGGCAGCTTGCTATTTGGACTGATAAAGATAAGGCCACACAGGGTTGAAAACCTTCCCAGGGTCTTGGACAAAACTTTCCGATGCTTTGCGGTCAAAAGGCTGCTCGACAAGTTCGCCTGTACGAGTATTTTGTGACAATTTATTTTCCATGCAATTCCAATTCGTTGATGGCTGAGTAAGAGTAAGAGTAAGAGTTAGAGCTCCAATTCTAGAGCAAGATGGTGTGTGATGGTGGGGGGATGGGTGGTTGCTTTCAACAAATCTAAAAACTATTAAATTGGGCTGTGAGCCAAAAAACATTTTTTTTTTTTTGGGCAACTAAACTTTGGTTGGCTTGTGTGATTGCTTGTTGACAGTCACGCGATTTTTCCATGGGTTGGCACATTTGATTTCGCTGCAACTTTGCACCTTGCCACGCTGTTGACAGGGCCGATGACAACGACAACGACAACGGCCACGGAAACGGCAACGACGACGTTGAAGTTAATTGGAAGGGTAGTCGGTTCTTGTCTCCTACAACCGAATGCAACGATAGCATCTACTCGTAAGGAGAGGAAGCCGTAGAATTGCAATGCATGCCCAATGTGTGAGGGTATTCAACAATATAGAGCATCTGCTGCAACTGCTGTGCAACGAGACATTAACACATGCGTGCTATCTAGATGCAAACAAGGCTGGTGTGTGGGCTACGCTTTTGACCCGCAATAGTTTTGAGCGTATGTAGGCGACATCGGCATCGGCATCGTCACCGGCACCGGCACTAAACTAATTAAAAGTTTTCCTTTTTACCAGCCCGGGCCTTATGCAACAAGGCCTGTGGCCGCGTCCATATGGCCAGGGGCGTGACCAAAGCTCAGCCTCGGTTCAAGACAACATAAATTACGCATTGAAATCACGTAAATGTCAGCAAATTTAATCAGCATAACATCAGTGGTTACAGCGCCCCCAAGCGGACAACACTTTTTCATCTAAACAAAAATTAAATTTAGCAACATAACCAAATAAGAGGCGGCCGCACGAAAGTAAGCAAAAAAGAAAGCTCAAGTGGGAGTGTCAAGGGGAGAGGAGGCAACAAATTTGCACACAAATACGTGACTTTAGTTCCTCAGTCGACGTTAACACTGACGCAGCCGAGAGGGGGCACAAGGGCGTGGGTGATGGCGAGGGAGAGGGAAGGATGATAAGGAGATGTGTGTGTGTGTGTGCGTTTTATTTCTCTCAATCTCATGTACAGCTTTTAATCCTTTGCACTTTTGTCAATGTCAGGCGGGAGCTACTGCGGACCACGACTGAAAACCGAGGTATGTAGCGTTTGGAAATAGTTTGCGCACCACAATGACATTTCATTTGGCAGCATAACAAAAAATGGGCCAATAAAATTAATTGATTTTGAGGTTGTACCGTGTGCACTGCGATTTTGATTTTGCATTCCTCTACCAGCATACTCGTACTGGCCCGACTGACAACCAACCACATTTGACAGACAATATTGGGTTGCACGTTTGCGGGCTCGGATTGTACGTGAACAATTTATGTATGTACGAGTGCTTTTTTTATTAGAATTTTTTAGGGAATGCCGTTTGTTAGTTACCTTGACGCACAATCGCTGTTGCATAGTTGTAGGCGCGCTGCATTGTTACCCATGCACATGCATGCATATAACGTGGTAAATGAAAACTGCTGCTGAAACATTTGACTAATGGAATGTCATCGTTGGCCATTTTTGCCCACCTGAGTAATATTAACCTAAATATGGCACGGGTACATTTATTCCCATTGGCTCTATTCTTACCTTTAAATGGAACTTGATGCAGAGCGTTGGAACTTTTAAAGCAACCTTGCAAATATATGTAGGTAACTCAAAGAAGAATGAGTAGAAGACCCAACAATAATATTTCAACTGAAATATTGAAATTATTCGTTTCATCCCACAAATCTAATATTGTAATAGACTTCCGATCAACTTTTCGCTTATCGAAATTCCGTACTTGCAACAATATCTGATCTCATTTTTTGCATTTCGCGGTTTCCTTTTCTCGCGTTCTCCGTCCATCTTACGAAACAAGGAATTTCAAGTGAAGTCATTGATATTTCATATTAATTTTCACTTTTATTGACAAGCATTTAAATGCAATCAAGTGAAACACAATGCGCTCTGCCATTTAGTTGTGCTTGCTTCCACATACAAGTATAGCATACTCGTAAATCGATATACTAGTGTACTATACTTGTATAGTATATATGTAGGTATTAACAATACATACATATGTAAATACATATATTTCATAGCTGATTTAACCTGGTGTGCCTAAGAGAGCTGCGTTGTATGCTAACATGCCACAGTTATTGCTGTTGTTGTCATGCGTTTTTCATATGTCAGTGGCGTGAATGAAAGCGCAAACGGGGCGTATGATTAATGTGGTTCACATATAAAAGCGACTTGGTCGCATGTCCTTTACTATCTGTGGTTGCCGCTGCCTGTTTGGGTATGCCACTGCTGTTGTTGTTATTGCTGCTGTTACTGCCAGTGCTTATTCAATAATTTATAGCTGGCAGCCTCAGCCACTTACGATGTCAGAAAAATATGCGCAAAATATGGACAAAAGTATTACAAAAGCTTTTGTTACCAACGGCCCCGTGAATTCGATGGGAAGTCCTATCCAAATATACTTTTATGTGGGCGGTGTAAATTAAACATTGAAAGTGCTCGTACTACAATCTTATTGCTTACATATGTAATTGTATATAATATGTATATAATTGACTTTAAAATTGGAATAAGATAAGGGGCTCTTTTATCACCACTAAAATGTTGACAATACAAATGAATGGGTTGACTTAAATTTAATTACCACTACATAAATAAAATAAATGAGTTATAGCTGCCGTTTATATACTATACGTATATAGTAAACAAAACCAGTCTGATAACCAAGTGACTGAGATAAGGGCGCACACTGACTCGCGACATATACTTGACATGCCATAAAATATTTATTTAATAGCAATGCAAACAACAAATCATGAGTAAACCTTATCAGCATAAGTGTTGTTATAAGCCATTTAATGTTTTGATTATACTTCAAAATTAATTAGAAACATTATTTAACTATTAAAATGATTAATAGGACTAATAGGTCGCCTTTGAATAAGTTTTCAACGATATTTTTATACTAAGTATCTAAGAGAGCGGTCCGAAATTTTTCTAGCCTGACAATGATACAACAGTTTTAAAATAGATATGTTTTTTATTTTTCAGCATAGTCTCCTTCTATATCAACACAATTCTCTCATTGATGCTTCCACCTCTTCACCACAACTCGTATACCAATTATCTATATATCTATCTTGTATTATCCATTTGTCTAAATGACAAATGCAGTGCGCTGATTTTGATGCAACTTCCCATTATGGCGTGGTATTACTATAATGTTATTATAGGCATGAAACTCCAAGAACTTCGGAAACATACTAACCAGGGTATTATGTTTAGCTTTCTTAGCCACACGCAGACAAGAATTTATCACTCGTGTACTTATCATACTCATCATTAAAAAGAATTATAATAGCTTTAGTGTATTACAAGTTTTTGTACCCCAGCATAATCTGAAATTTATAAAAAATATAAAGAAATATTTATAACGAACAACTAAATTAAAACCAAAACACTAACGAATTCACAATAAATTAAATTATTATACACTTTGGAAGTTTTGAAGTCAAGTACAACCCAAAATGCCGTGACACCCAAGTACATATACCAGACAATCGAAGAAGTCCCACTTGGGATTTAAAATGATAATCATACTCCATTACTTTCTGGGATTTGTCAGTTTTTTCACCTTTCTAAAAAATATAACATTTTGTAGTTTGTTTTTTTAAATTATTCTGAACGTAGGCATCCAGCTTGTAAGGATTGTGGAGTGTTTATCCATACAAAAGGACATTATGTATACATATCCAGTGCACACTCGTATACTATAGCCTAAAAATATATGTAATTGTACGCGAGTACATTAAATATACATACATATAATAATAATTGGATAATTGGTCGCACAGAGAAAAAGTTGCATTAACTAGAAATGTGGAGTGAAAATGAACTTAAGCGGCAATTCATTATCATAATTGTGTGTTATGTATGTGTTCTATGCTTGTACGTCGCAAAAGCCAGACTACAAATTCGTTGCTCAGAGCGGAGCTGATGTCAGTACGAGATGAGCTCGCAAAAGATTGGCATCGTTGGGAGTGGTCTGATTGGTCGTGCCTGGGCAATGCTCTTTGCTGCGGCCGGCTATCGTGTCTGCCTCTATGACATTCTGGAATCACAAATTGTGACAGCTTTGGCAGAGCTTGGACAGGAGCTACGGAATCTTGAGAATAAGGGTACACTTCGTGGCGAATTAAAGGCAGCCGAGCAGCTAGCATTAATAAGCACCACCACAGAGTTGGAGCAGCTCGTGGTAGACGCAGCTTATATTCAGGAATGTATTCCAGAGCGTGTGGAACTGAAAGTCAACCTCTACGCTCAGCTCGATAAGGTGCTCCAACCTCAGACTATAGTGGGCAGCTCGACGAGCACGTTTCTGCCGTCCCGCTTTACGGCTGGGTTAAAGCAGAAGGCACAGGTGAGTTGATGTTGGCGTTGTAGTGTATGTAGGTCCTAGGAATTCATCACAGTAGTTGTTTTTTATGAAAAATAAGTACATCTAATTCGATCGTTTCGACTGTAGGCAATTAGGTGATGCTGGAAAACTCATATTATATATTATTATTAAAAACATTGAATGGAAGTCGAGTGTTTACGAAATGTCTCGGAATCAAGTGGCAACCGCGTTACCATATACGGAGGCAGTATGTAACCGTATGTTTTTAAATCTACATTTAGCATACTATATATTGGGTTTTAGAAAGACTGACTTTAGCAAGAGAGCAAGATAGTGATCGAGTTTCAGTTTTGAAATTGTTATTTTAAAATGAGCCCTTCGTATGTCTATGATGCAAATCTGCAACATACCGCTTAAACTCAATTATTTTACAATGTGTGCGCGAAATTTGCAAAGTTTCTATTTGATGTAGTTCTACACATGGTACTTTAAGTGTATTTGATTTGGTTGCACTGACCTAAGCTAGTGAATTGAAATTATGATCACTTTTGGTGCCAATTTTGTGGTTCGTGGGATGCAAGCAAATTAGAGGATTTCTGTATTAAATTGTTTTTAAATATATAAAGTACAACTAAAAATGCGATAAATGTGGGGTCGCATTAAGCTTTAATAAAATGAATAATTTGTTTTTAGAATTTACAGACATTTTTAGACCCTAGAAATCACTTTAATCTAAAAATAAAATACATCGTTTTTTGTAAAAAAAATATACAAAATCACAAAATTTCAAAAAACCAAAAACACGTATATTTTTATTTTGCCTTTTCTATCTAATGGAAAAATCCGCATTAAAATCAGAACAAAAGTCATACGAAGGGTTAGGAGTCTTACCTTAGTGGGCCTACAACGATAGATAGAACAGGTAAAACGGATAGAATTTAAATAAAACAACGATATACAAGTAGTTGTAGCTCGACAGGTGACTTTTTCGTTTGATTTTTCCATGTTTTTTTGTTTTGCTGAGATGAGTTGACGATCTTTACAAAAATTACCAGATAAAATGTCAGAAATCGTAGGATTAAACCAAGGTCTTTGAGAATAATAATATCAGATACGAAGGAAATACTGCTTAGAAAATGCATTCTAATTACGATTGGATATGTAAATAGTATAGAACGGAATATAGTTTCACTTTCACTTTACTTCTTAGCTCGCCATTTAATTACAGATGCTCGTGGCGCATCCCCTGAATCCGCCATATTTTATACCGTTGGTTGAGATCGTACCCGCCCCTTGGACCTCTGACCAGGCAGTGCAACAAACTTACGATTTGATGGTTTCGTTGGGACAGCGTCCGGTTAAGTTGAACCGAGAGATCGAGGGCTTCGCAACCAACCGCATACAGTACGCCATATTAAACGAAGTGTGGCGCTTGGTGGCTGCCGGAATACTCAATGTCCTCGATGTAGATCGTGTTCTGAGCCAAGGTCTGGGTCTGCGGTACGCGTTGCTGGGTGCCCTGGAGACGGCTCATCTGAACGCCCCCGGAGGCGTTGCGGACTACTTCCAGAGGTTTGGCGGCGAAATGGCGAAAGTGAGTGCCACCTATGGACCCACTCCTGATGTGCGTGATAGTGAAATGCTGGCGAAGATAGCGCAACAATGTGAGGAAATTGTGCCGCTCCAAGGACTGCCTCAGCGACGCGCCACGCGCGATGCATTCCTGACGAAATTGGCCGCACTCAAGCGCCAATTTGAGTAAAGAATGAAAAGGCGTATATAGTATATTTATGACAATATTATTCGGCTTTATTAAAGTTTCGCTTAAATGGAAATGCCTGGTTGCCCTGCATGTCTCTCCTTGGATAATTGCAAATGGTTGGAATGGACATTGGAGCAGGAGTGGGTGCGGGGCCAGTTAGTGGCTGTTCCAATTACATTTGCTGGCCGTGCATTAATGAAATTAATTTTGGTGGCAACTGAAAACTCGGCTATTGCGCAGCCCAACGTGTCACATTTCCGCATTGGCATTAAGTTGCCTTGCTGGTTTTTCCGCTTTGCTTTTTATGCTTTTCATTTCACTTCTGCCACTTGGCTAGATAAATTGCAGTGCATCTTAACTCATTTTTCATTTAGTTTGTTGGTGTCTGTTTTATGCGATGGGAACTAAGCATAAGTTGAGCTGTTTATATTTTCAGCTCTACTCCCTCAAATTGTCTGGTCTTTTTCAATTGAGCCTAGGGTTACAGCTAAGCTGACAATAAATAGGCCTAGGTTCCGAAAGCTATGTTTGTGATATTAAGGACTACAATTTGTAGAATTAAAAGCGGTATACTATATGTGAACATCGATATATAAATGCACATGTGTGCTATATTTACTTACGATTCATGTGTATAATTATAATTAGGGCTTAGGGGAACCCGGATTTGGTATTATTTAAGCAGTTGTACTTGCTGAGATCCTCATGCTCATACATAGAGAAAGACGGACGGAAGGACAGGGCTATATCGACTCGTTTCGTCCTACTGATCAAGATCAGGGTATAAAAAGGAGACGTGACATACCTCACAAAGTATATATAGTCTGCTCCATAGACACACATAGATACAAGTACAATTTCAAATTAAATATATAGACATACACAAGGGCGTACACAGCGTTTTAAAAAGGGGCACTTTTCTGTACAACTTTTTCCAAAATATTAAGTAATTCATATACGTTTCATATAGGTTTCATTTTCAATAAGATATATCTGTGCATTCTGCGTGCGATTTCAAGAAGTTCGCGTCAACCCAAGCCAGACAACAGCTCGAATTTTTAACCGTGCCCGGTCTAGAAAAACTCCGCACGAGTTGCTCAAAAAGGACACCAAACCGAATGTTATAGAAAAAGTGTCCGTCTGCACAATTTTACTCCTTAATAGCCTCGTTGACTGGCTATGGCCCCTGATCATGGCTTCGAGGTGAGGGCTGGATCAAGATGCCATGCGACCCGTGTCGAAGATCAGCCTGGCTGAGGACCCTCCTCGGGTCGGAAGCTCTTAAAAAACCCTGCCCGAGCACAGTTTACAAAACCAAATGCAAACTACCCTAGTAGTCTTCTGAGTTAGACAGTTTTTGGGTCGAGTGCAGAAGACAATTTAACGAAGCTAGGAGGACTAGCACAGAACATAGGTGGGAGCTATTTATACAGCTCTAATGCGCAAACTTGCAATCTTTAGGTCGGCCATTAGAAGAGCCAAACTCACTTCATGGGCCAACTTCTGCAAAAACATCGAATTCCCATCTGCGTCTTTCAAGGCTCCGAAAGGTGCTGCCTAAGTACCCCTCTCCGCCAACCCTTCTGTAAAGGGGAGATTGTAGTTTGATGGACTCCTGCAGAGTCTCGCTGAAGCTGTTTATTAACAAGCAGCCTGGGAAGTGCACCGATAGTACCAGTTGCAGTGCATACCAAAACACATATTTAAAACAAGTAAAAAAGCTAAAGTCGGGTGTCCCGACTTTGAAATACTCTGTACATATGTTTACAATAATTATAGAAAATAAAAAAAATTAAGAAAATAAAAAAAAAAATTTGATCGATTTTACCTCTCTCGGTATTCGAACTCACGTAAAGGGTGTATAATTGCACATTTACATAGCAATTGCGTCTGTGTGAGTGTATGTATGCCTATGCGCATCAATTCGTGTCTGTGTAAGCATTTTCGCAGTCAACCAAACAGCAACATCAACAACAGCCGCGGGCAGCGCTTGAGCTGCGCTGCAGCAGCGCTGCATCAGCAAATATATTTATGGCTATAACTTCTTGTTAAATCGGTCTATCATAATGAAATTTGGCATACGGACACATAATAACTAACTGGGGGTATTTCCAAAATTTTAGTTCGAAATTCCAAGAATTACGGGAGTTACGATTTGCGGGGTAGAGGGGGGAGGGAGGGGAATTCCAAAATATATATTTTCTGCGTATTCACATAAGGCATCTGGGACTAAAATTTGGTGTTCCTAGGTCTTATAGTCTCCGAGATATAGGCGATTATACGAATGGAAAATCGGGAATACCCCCATAGGGGGGAAGTGGGGAGGAAAATCAAAAAAATAAAACAAACTCGTATAGAATACACACATAACGCATCTTCGTGCAAAATTTGGTGTCTCTATCTCTTATAGTCTCTGAGATCCAGGTGTTCATACGGACGGACAGACGGACAGACAGACAGACAGGGCTAGATCGACTCGTCTCGTCATGCTGATCAAGAATATATATACTTTGTGGGGTCTGCCACGCCTCCTTCTGCCTGTTACATTTTTCAGCTCCCGCAAACCTAATATACTCTTGTACATTTCATGTACAGAGTATAACAAGAGAGAACGCTACAGTCGAGCAAGCCCGACAGTGTAATACCCTGTACCCAGGTAAACTTCCGTCACTGAGTTATACAGTGAAACCAACAATTATTCGTACACTCCTTACTTTTGACTTTAAAGGCCTATATCTTCGCTGTTATTTATAATACACAACAATTTTTAATTTTAAATGAACACTTAATATTTATATTTTATATTTTAAAAACAATAACAAACAATTTCATAATCGGTAATGGAAGAAACTTAATCTAATCAAAATAAGGCAGGTTTTTACGTCCATAAATTATTCGTACACTTAATTGTTTTCAAATTATTTTTCTTAAATTTACATCTTATTTAAATTTTAATATTTTGTAGGCCCGCCTTTGGCCTTAATAACGGCTAGTAAGCGCCGGTGCATGCTCTTCACCAAATTATTGGTCTCTCTTGGTTCAATTTTTTGCCACTCAGAAACTAATGCGGCTTTCAAGGATTCCTTGGATGTTATATTGTGCTTCCGTATCCTCCTCTCAAGCAATTCCCATATATGCTCTATGGGATTTAAATCTGGTGATTGGGGTGGAGATTTAAGCTGCTTGCAGTGATATATCAGCCACTCTTGTACCAAATATGATGAATGTTTTGGGTCATTGTCTTGTTGGAAGAAGAATTTTTTGGGATCGAGCCCGAGCTTTGTGGCACTTGGATGTAAATTTCTCTCCAAAATACTTTTATAAATGTGCTTGTCCATTTTTTCATCTATGAACACCATGTTTCCAGGTCCAGATGCAGCTATACATCCCCAAACCATTACATTTCCTCCACCATGCTTGACGGTGGGAATAATGTTTTTCTCTTTCATGGCTTCATTCGCTTTTCGCCAGATTTTGGGAGGGCCGTCGTGCCCAAAAATGTTGTATTTGGACTCATCACTAAAGATAACGTTTTCCCAAAACGAATCTGGTTCATTTAAATACAGTTTGGCGAATTCCAGCCTCTTTTTTTTATTAACCGCCGAAATGAATGGCTTTCGCCGTGCAATCCTTCCATGATAACCAGCACTGTATAGGCAATTGCGTATGGTTTGGTGGCACACTTGTTTGTTGCTACACTGTTCAACATTTTTGGATAGTTCTGAAGTGGTTATTTTTGGGTTTTGGACAACAGCAGCTACTATATTTCGCTCATCACGCTGTGTTAGAATTTTTGGTCTCCCAGCTTGTTTATGATTTGTACCCAAACTCCCTGTGTTTCCGTACTTCTGTATTATACTTTGTACAGAAGAGTGTGATCTGTCGATTAATTTGCCAATGGCGCGAAGAGAATAATTTTCTGTATACAATTTAAGAATATGTTTACGCATATCAAGTGAAATATCCTTTCCTCGCCCGTCTATATCAATCAAAATTCGTCTCAACACTAATTAAAAATCAAAGAAGAATGAATGAAAACTAATGTACATGCTGAATGCTGGCGACGGTAACGAAATTCCTTAAAAAGAATTGCCAATTACAGTTACATGCGATGAGAAAACATGATAAGGCACAAAGTGTACGAATAATTTATGGACGTAAAAACCTGCCTTATTTTGATTAGATTAAGTTTTTTCCATTACCAATTATGAAATTGTTTGTTATTGTTTTTAAAATATAAAATATAAATATTAAGTGTTCATTTGAAATTAAAAATTGTTGTGTATTATAAACAACAGCGAAGATATAGGCCTTTAAAGTCAAAAGTAAAGAGTGTACGAATAATTGTTGGTTTCACTGTATGCGCCCAAAGCAGCAGCAAAAAGAGGAAGAAGAAGAGCGAACTTGTTGCTGCAGTTTGGGGAGGTTGTACTGACGAGAATTTGTTTCGCTAATAACTTTTCTTAGAATTGACCGAATTGAATAAAATTTTGAACAACAATAGACAATTATATATAAATTATGTGTGCAAAGTTTGGTTTAGGTAGCATTTGAAATGTGGACGCTATTGACGAAATTCTGTAGCGGGGGAAGGGGGGGAAAATTCCAAAAAATAAAATAAACTCGTCCTTTCTCGGACCTAGGAGAATCTGGATGCCAACTTTGGTTATTCTAGCTTTTATAGTTTCTGAGATCCTCGCGTTCATCCAGACGGACAGACGGCCGGACGGACGGACATGTCTAGATCGATTTCTCTCGTCATGCTGATTCAGAATATATATACTTTATGGGGTCGGAGATGCTTCCTTCTGCATGTTACATACTTTGCACAAACCTAATATACCCTTTTTACCCTACGGGTACAGGGTATAAAAAGAATAAGTGGTTGGGACTCCCACTCAAACAGAGTGGGAAAGCCGTTCGACTCCAACCTGGACAACTCCATTGTCATCACTGACTGCCTCAAATCTCTTAATGATATGGCCCAGCAAGTCAGTAATTCTCTCATATGGTGTTTAGGGCACCGAAACGTGAAGGGAAACTGCATTGCAGACGAACTGGCTATGACATGCA